CACTCAAAGGAATTTTTCCTACATATCCCTCAATATACTGATACTGATACTATTTCTGTTTAAATTATTACAAATTTGTACATTTAATCTGTACACATTGTAATTATATTTAATGAGATAAAGTTTGTTTGCATGTTGCTTTCCTGACACTGAGAAATAAAAATTCTGAAAAATTCTAAATTATATCCAACTTAGCTACTCGTGTCGGTATTAATAGGTAACCCCTTTGCAAAATTCATCATTCTGTATTTTAGTAGCTCATGCATCATCGACATGGGATATCATCGGTTATCGATCTCGAGGATGCCGGTTCACTGCAAATTGGACCCTACGTTGAAATCATCGCCTGAAACATCTTCGCATTGTTCATCTTCGGCTCTTTAAATTTGACACGATTTTCAACATCGCTATTTGAAGAAGCTTCCAAAGACGATAAAAAATTGTTGTATATTTTGAGCATTGTCCGTGCTGTCTTAGCTGAATGGCAATGGTAATATGCGTAAAATATTTTGTTTTCAAATTCGAATGAAAGTAAAAACCACTCAGTATCAGTTTATTGAGAGAAAGATAGGCGAAGGCCTTTGAGTTCCCTATTGGTAACAAGGTGGCTGCAAGTCGACGGATAGAAAAGGGGACTGGAAAGAAGCACTTCAATTACAAGCTTGCAAGCGCATAGAGAAAAGCTGGTGCAGCCAAAATAATGATAAAATTGGCTACTGGCTTAGCACGTGTAGTATAATAAGTACGGGTAATACTCTCCCTAATGAGTCAGATTTACATTGGAGAATAAAATGTTTGGTGCATGTCCAGTTTGGTCTTAAATTTGTTCATATAGGTGAAGAGAATAACCTATGCGGGAAGAGCACTCTCGGTGTTCGACATTACGCGACCGGTCATGGTTCAGAGCAGATCATAAGGGTGCAATGGCGTACCCTTGGTCCCTTTCCATCCAAATAACTGCAGCGATCTCGCATCAGGAATCATTCAGGTTGGGATCGAGCTTAGGAAATTTGAGCAGGCGGGACTTGGCCTGTTATTGGCCCGTTCAAGTTTCGCCTGCAGAAAGAATATTGAAGGTTATTCAGATACTACCCGCGGCTGGTACTCCTAATCAGCACAAACCGTTTCCCATGGGCCCGTAAGAGAGGCCGAGGAAAGATCAGTCGACCGCATAGAGAGAGTGTGCGTTTACTCAGACAAGCACGTTACAGCAAGTCAATGCAAGTCATTCTCACACAAAGGTTGAATTTACTTAAGGGGAAAAGCGAGGGACATCGATAGTCATGTCGCGTTCTCATGACGGCTGCTAAAAAAGAGCGTGCTGAGGGCGGTTTCAGGTCTACTGGT